GTAAACATACCTGATATACCGTAAATATAACTGCCATACCGTTAATATAACTGCCATACTGTAAACATAACTGCCATACTGTAAATATAACTGAAATACTGTAAATATAACTGCCATACTGTAAATATTACTGTCATACCATAAATATAACTGCCATTCCATAAATATAACTGCCATACTGTAAATATAACTGCCATACCATAAATATAACTGCCATATACCATAAATATAACTGCCATACCATAAATATAACTGCCATATACCATAAATATAACTGCCATACCATAAATATAACTGACATACCGTAAATATAACTGACATACCGTAAATATTACTGCCATACCATAAATATAACTGCCATATAACTGCTTTACCGTAAATATAATTGCCATACTGTAAATATAACTGCCATACTGTAAATGTAACTGCCATACCGTAAATGTAACTGCCATACTGTAAATATAACTGCTTTACCGTAAATATAACTGCCATACCGTAAATGTAACTGCCATACTGTAAATATAACTGCCAGACCGTAAATGAAACTGTCATACTGTAAATATAACTGCCATACCGTAAATATAACTGACATACCGTAAATATTACTGCCATACCATAAATATAACTGCCATATAACTGCTTTACCGTAAATATAATTGCCATACTGTAAATATAACTGCCATACTGTAAATATAACTGATTTACCGTAAATATAATTGCCATACTGTAAATATAACTGCCATACTGTAAATATAACTGATTTACCGTAAATATAATTGCCATACTGTAAATATAACTGCCATACTGTAAATATTACTGTCATACCATAAATATAACTGCCATACCATAAATATAACTGCCATACTGTAAACATAACTGCCATACTGTAAATATAACTGAAATACTGTAAATATAACTGCCATACTGTAAATATTACTGTCATACCATAAATATAACTGCCATACCATAAATATAACTGCCATATACCATAAATATAACTGCCATACCATAAATATAACTGACATACCGTAAATATAACTGACATACCGTAAATATTACTGCCATACCATAAATATAACTGCCATACCATAAATATAACTGATATACCGTAAATATAACTGCCATACCGTAAATATTACTGCCATACCATAAATATAACTGCCATATAACTGCTTTACCGTAAATATAATTGCCATACTGTAAATATAACTGCCATACTGTAAATATTACTGTCATACCATAAATATAACTGCCATACCATAAATATAACTGACATACCGTAAATATAACTGACATACCGTAAATATTACTGCCATACCATAAATATAACTGCCATACCATAAATATAACTGCCATATACCATAAATATAACTGCCATACCATAAATATAACTGCCATACCGTAAACATAACTTATATACCGTCAATGTAACTGCCATACCGTAAACATAACTGCCATACTGTAAATATAACTGCCATACTGTAAATGTAACTGCCATACTGTAAATATAACTGCTACACCGTAAATATAACTGCCATACTGTAAATATTACTGTCATACCATAAATATAACTGCCATTCCATAAATATAACTGCCATACTGTAAATATAACTGCTATCCCGTAAATGTAACTGCCATACCATAAATATAACTACCATACCGTAAATGTAACTGCCATACTGTAAATATAACTGCCATACTGTAAATATTACTGTCATACCATAAATATAACTGCCATACCATAAATATAACTGCCATACTGTAAATATAACTGCCATATTGTAAATATAACTGCCATACCATAAATATAACTGCCATATACCATAAATATAACTGCCATACCATAAATATAACTGATATACTGTAAATATAACTGATATACCGTAAATATAAATGCCATACTGTAAACATAACTGATATACCGTAAATATAACTGCCATACCGTAAATATTACTGCCATACCATAAATATAACTGCCATATAACTGCTTTACCGTAAATATAATTGCCATACTGTAAATATAACTGCCATACTGTAAATATAACTGCCATATTGTAAATATAACTGCCATACCATAAATATAACTGCCATACCATAAATATAACTGATATACCGTAAATATAACTGATATACCGTAAATATAAATGCCATACTGTAAACATAACTGATATACCGTAAATATAACTGCCATACCGTTAATATAACTGCCATACCGTAAACATAACTGCCATACTGTAAATATAACTGCCATACCATAAATATAACAGCCATACCGTAAATATAACTGCCATACTGTAAATATAACTGCCATACCGTAAATATTACTACCATACCGTAAATATAACTGCCATACCGTAAATATAACTGCCATACTGTAAATTTAACTGCCATACTGTAAATGTAACTGCCATACCATAAATATAACAGCCATACCGGAAATATAACTGCCATACTGTAAATATAACTGCCATACCGTAAATATTACTACCATCCCGTAAATATAACTGCCATACCGTAAATATTACTGCCATACCGTAAATATAACTGCCATACCATAAATACAACTGCCATACCATAAATATAACTGCCATACCGTAAACATAACTGTCATACCGTAAACATGACTGATATACCGTAAATATAACTGCCATACCGTAAATATAACTGATATACCGTAAACATAACTTATATACCGTAAATGTAACTGCCATACCATAAATATAACTGCCATACTGTAAACATAACTGTCATACTGTAAATATAACTGCCATACCATAAATATAACTGCCATACTGTAAACATAACTGCCATACTGTAAATATAACTGACATACCATAAATATAACTGCCATACTGCAAATTTAACTGCCATACTGTAAATATAACTGCCATACCATAAATATAACTGCCATTCCGTAAATATAACTGCCATACTGTAAATATAACTGCCATACTGTAAACATTACTGCCATACCGTAAATATAACTGCCATACCGTAAATATAACTGCCATATCGTAAATATAACTGCCATACCGTAAACATACCTGCCATACCGTAAACATAACTGCCATACCGTAAACATAACTGCCATACCGTAAATATAACTGATATACCGTAAATATAAATGCCATACTGTAAACATAAGTGATATATATTGTAAATATAACTGCCATACCGTTAATATAACTGCCATACCGTAAACATAACTGCCATACCGTAAACATAACTGTCATACCCTAAACATGACTGATATACTGTAAATATAACTGTCATACCATAAATATAACTGCCATGCCATTTATATAACTGCCATACCATAAATATAACTGCCATACCATAAATATAACTGCCATACCATAAATATAACTGCCATTCCATAAATATAAATGCCATACTGTTAACATAACTGATATACCGTAAATATAACTGCCATACCGTTAATATAACTGCCATACCGTAAACATAACTGTCATACCGTAAACATGACTGATATACTGTAAATATAACTGTCATACCATAAATATAACTGCCATGCCATTTATATAACTGCCATACCATAAATATAACTGCCATACCATAAATATACCTGCCATGCCATTTATATAACTGACATACCATAAATATAACTGCCAAACCATAAATATAACTACCATACCATAAATATAACTGCGATACAATAGATATAACTGCCATACCGTAAATGTAACTACCATACTGTAAATATAACTGCCATACCATAAATATAACTGCCATACAATAGATATAACTGCCATACCGTAAATGTAACTGCCATACCGTAAATACAACTGCCATACAATAAATATAAATGCAACACCATAAATATACATAACTGTCATACCATACCAAGATCATATCTTGTTGACTTGTTCACCTGCTTTTAAAGAATTTACAACATACCAATAGATACAACAAAACCTGTCCAAACTGACCACCAGGACAAATATTTTTTTATTTGTTGCTAAAGAGGTCACTTTTTACACAGGTCCAAGTCAAACAGAAATGTAACAGTGGGACCTTGACTGTAACCTTGTTTGGTTAAATCCCTCATATACATATCAGCACCATTAAGGTGATTTGTCAAACATACAGACAGACCCGCATTTGAAGTGTTACAATTAAAAGATATCGTTTTATCTTTTTCAAAGTAACGAACTGAACCAAACGAACTGAAAATTGTCAAATAAAGACGGACATTACGACACATTTTTTTCTAATATTAATGTCCAAGGTATTCCGTGGAATTACTACTATACTAAAACAACAGTTAAGATAGAATGAAGATTGATGACTATGGAGACACAAATGAAAACAGAAGGTTGGAGAGGAAAGAACAAATAGATCCCAAGTGTAGCGATGGGAGCAGTAGATCAAATGTCCCTCAGTAGAAGGTCTGGTTTATTCAGTTTTCTGTATTATACAGGGTTCTGTTTCAAGACAGGTTACACACTGCAATATTATTCTTTCATGAAGATGAGGGATTTGTTGAAATGACTATTCCTCGCTTTGAATACGATACTTCAGCCATTGGTGGAGTTGTTATCAGTTGTGACACTGTTTTTGTTAAGTTTGGGGTTAAATGTCCTCGCACATTTACAATTAAATGACAACGGAAAAGCTGTGACATAAAGAAACCTTTTGGTCACGATATACTTTGAGTATTTGTTGTCTTGATATACTGGACATGTCACTCAATTTTGACCACCAAGAGCACTATCTCTGACAAATCTGTCTATCTGCCATTCAGTTGTGGATCCAGGTTTGCGTAAGTAAGGGTGCAGGAACAGAACCTAACTCAAAGTTACCAACTGCATCCTCTCAACTCTTTCAATCTTCCATAGTTGTAAAATCGATTGGACCTGAAGATCCATCCTTAAATCCTACACAACCCATCTGCTCTCCAAGCACAGCCAATATAGAAGGAAAGATAACTCTAGCTGAATTACCACACAAGAGAAGATTTGAACACAAAGATTGCCTACCTTCACAGGACACGATAGGAATGTTGAATCGTGTGAGGAGTCGAGTGAGCTGATCTCGGATCTGGACGGCCCGTGTGAGGCCCTTGTAGTTCAATAGGTACTCATGACACCACTTCTTACTCTTACCATACTGTAAATACAAACCAAACCTAGTATCTACACAAAACAGCTAATCTTACAATTAATGACTTAAACATTTTGTCATATTACTTAAATGTTTTGTCATATTACTTAAATGTAAGAAACAGCCACTTAAGAATAAATTGTTCAATATATGTAACGGTTGAAATGCATCTTTCTAACATTGATGATGTTATGCAATACAGTTCTGTTCCAGCTGTTGTCCCAATCACCCTGGAAACCCAAGATATGATACTGTCCATGGTATTATATCAATAACTGAACAGTGATTATCTTCCTTATCTGTGATGTGCTATATTATAAAGGCCAAAACTCTTTTAATAATTTTCTGATTATAATCTGTTTTTTTCATTCCATAGACTTCATTGTCAACTTTTAATACACACTTTATTAGTGTATATTCTGCAATTTTTTACCCTTTGCTACATTAGCAATGTATGTATATTACACTATAACAGTGTTTTAACCATATCCTCTAGTAACACTGGTGTGATATACAAGGGCTCATTTACTATCTGTAAGTCAATGCTTTAGATAACAACATTTTGAATTACTATGTGACTGTGATTTTACTATAAACTGCATTGTTATTCTGTGAAATAATTCTTAGTCTATTCACTAAATTTAACATGTATGTGCAGTATATTGATGTGATACGATTTTGTCAATTGTTTTTATTGTCATTATTTGCATTTGTTATACAGTCAGTTGTAAAAGCCTAAAAGGCCTGTGTTGCCATGTTTATAAATGTACCGACTATAGATAAAGATTACTTGAACTTGAGCTTGAACTTTGTAGCTGGTACTTCTAAGTTGTGATAACTTGTGCCCGACCCCTTTTGTTCTTTATCATGATTTACCATACAATATTCTATGCACAAAAAAGTTCTAAAAATTCCTTACCATAGTAAAATTAAACTTGTGTCACAAAGAATAACACAATTACTTCCACTAAAAAACGAGTTATTATCATTATCTCAGTAGTAAAAGTTGACTAACCTTGAGGAAAGCAGCGAGAACGTTGACGAGGGTTACATGGTCTCCTTCGTCTACTGAAAATTTCCGTTTCATCTTGTCCTGTCAAATAAAGGTTTTAGAAATGTAGCATGACCTACCACAACCTCAGCTTGTTATTATTTTATCATTTATATATTTTATGAGTCTGGTTACATAGTTTTGCTCACTCTACATTATTTACAGGACAGCTAGCATCCTACAACTAAACACCCATTTAATTTTGTACACAGTTTTTCCTGCAGATTTATTTAAGATAGTTTCGGATTCATTGATTGACTCAAACAGTGTGGAATAAATGCTTGTTTTTTTTTTTTTATTGGTTAACAATACAGTTTCTACAAAATATGAATTAGATTTTAGATACAGAAGAACTTATTACATGCGTGTACCATTTGATTTGGTACACATATCTCAAAATGGTGACCAGCTAGGCCATACACTTCAGATGTTTACGCAACTCGTTTCACATCAAAATGACATATACATCGTTATCTTCTGTACAAAACCTATCATTGTGACTTTTTAAATTCTAATTGCCCCAAAAACAACATCAATATCATCATATCATACATGACATTCCACTAGATATTCTAATAGATAGTGACATTCCAAGAAACCAATTCAAATATTTGAAAAAAATTGTCTCTTCACATCTACCCAAAACAACATATCAAACTATTATTTACCCCATACCCTTTTCGTTTTTGATGAAGAACAGTGACACATTTCCAAGTGTACTATTATTTCATTATAATAATATTATATATTCTAATAGTTTTATTGATGGTTCGGATTTACTCATTACACTTAATCACAGATACCATATAGAGCATTCATCTAAAGCTCCAGTTCCAATCCCAGTCTGTCTCACTGCCTTTATCACCCCTCTGGTTACACGTCACACGACTGTGTAATAATGTGGTACTGTAACAACATGACTTACGGATGTATTCCTCTGACCAGAGGGAGTCACAAAAACATTCTGTATCTGGGTCATCGCCGCCACGGCAACTGCTTCCACGGAACACTGGTACTCTCCTGGAGACAGAACAAGACCACACAGTAATTTAAAAAAGGGCAAATTGGCCACTCGTTAAGAACTACATGCTTCATATAACTATTGATAAGATATTTTAAAATGAAATAAAGGAAGTATTTCCCAAAATATTTTGAAAGGAGATCCTGGTACAGTTGTATTTGTCTATTAAAATATAGCATATTAGATACACTGTAAAAGAAAGGGGGAAACTTTATTATACAAACAATATACGGGAGGAATTTAAGGCTATATGCTACCATACATAATACCTTTTACTTACGTTAAGAGTTATCTCCCTTTTAAATAAAATTTCATTGACATTTTCTTATCATAAAAAATGCTGATTTTAAAGACCTCAAATGGGACCATAACTTTTACAGGATGTTGTTGAAAGTCAGATGTTCATCGGAACTTCTAGTGCAATCAATGCATCATTATTTTAAATGAAAAACCAAGTAATCAACAAAGAATGATATAATTCATTAACGACAGTTCACCAATTCATTGGAGTATAGCTCTTTTGAATAGGAGACACAGGTTAGATAGCATACATCCTTAATATCAGCATGACAAGAAACCATAGTTGCTGCTAACCCTGGGTAGGATACCAAATTAAATCCTTATAATCATTTACATACATTTTGTATCTGAGGCCACTGCAACCTGTTTGATTTTCGATCTACTCCGAAACTACCAACACTAGGTTAGGGATGTTAGCACGGATAGTGTGACCATGTTTAGACAAAATCTGCACACTGTCATTCTTCTATCAAGATGTGAGAATCATCTCAACCAATCAGCACCTCAGGGCTATCTCCAACCAAATAAATACAGGATCCTAGATAAATATAGGTTTTATAGCTGACTCACCAGATACCAGCAACATCTTGGCAAACATGGGAGACAGCGGAAACTCGGCCATTTGTAATCCCAAGGGTGAGGTTAGCATACCATTGTCATCCATCGCTGTAAATACAATCCATGTCATCATGTTTTACAATCTCTACATACATATATTCAAGACACATGTATCCCATTCGGAACATTGCTGTAGGATATATGCATCAATATCTCTTTCTCAGGTCCATATAACCACCTCTTCACCTCATCGAAAGTCCATAACTGATCAATATTACATGGCCACACTCAGAAATTTCTAGTTAGGAATTGTACTTTTATAATTCTGGATTATGAATTTCATGAAAGTAATCATTTAGAGCACAAATTGTTGTCTTGCCTGTCCCCGCTTTCACCATTAATGGCATTAATTTCAGAAGTTAGCATTCACGATGAGATAAGTAGGTAGGATGCAAGTTTTGTAGAGATTCGGTTGGTGTGTCATTTATATATCTTTGTAGAAACGGGGGTAAACAACTGAACGCAAAAACTAAAAGTTGACGACGATGCTTCCGCCGCTGGCGTGACCCTTAAAAAAGCTAGAAACCAGTGTTATATAATGTTAAACAATACAGTTCAATGAAGATGTGTATCAATTTAGCAGTCAACTTGACACTCAGATAAGAATTTATGTCAATTTCTCAAAATTCACCAAAACTTCATGTTTTTTATCCCAAAAAGAAACCATTGCCTTTTACACCCAATTTTTATCATAAATTGAGATGTACAATTACCCATGTATCAAATTGGTGGTTTTCTATTTTTGTTCTAAAATACCTACCACCCAGAGCATACAGTAGCTCCAGACCTCGAACCATGTTCTGGGCTGGTGGGGGTGAGAGAAAGTTGAAGCGTAAAACATTGCCGACCCCAAGAGCTTTCATCTGCAGAACAACAGGCGCCATGTCACTACGCTGCATCTCCGGTACTGTGGCTGGCGACAGCTCATCGTAGGCTGTCTCTGTGGATATATTGTATAGGAAAGTAAGAATATTTAGGATTGTGACTGTAAATAGGATGCGACACACCGATTCGGTCGATATATTGGATAAATAGAGTCGATCATATGTACGTATGTTAGATAAGGATATTCTACCAGAGGGTGTAGAATTTGGTTCAGAACCGAGGCTCTCCCAAGGATCCAACACCAAAATCTGCACCTGAGGTAATGGCTATGTAGTCATATATTTATCTTTTTAAACTTGTATGAATTTCATCTTTATTTACGTAATTCATTGTAATAATATAATATTCACGATGTAGTCAGAGAGGTATTTCTACACGCACTTTCTTTAGAAGTTCGATTTGTTTATGTGTTTTTCAGTGATGTCATGACTAAGCATGTACTTATGTATACATGTACCGGAAATCTTTCGCTCAGTCAAATAAAATGTTGATAGTATATGCTACCTGTGTAGAGTCTGAAGGCCTTCCCAGCACGCACTCTGCCAGCCCGACCAGCCCTCTGATTGGCTGATGCTTGGGATACAGGAATAATCACTAACGACTCTGAACAAAGAAAAACAAAGACTGTCAATACAGTACCGGTGAAATGTTTGAACGGTGACAACAGCTTTGAAAATATCTGTCTCAAACAGCTGTTTATCTTAATTTCAGGTACATATCATATAATTTGTATATACAGGTACACCATTATTTGAAGAATCTCTTTAAAAAGCACTGACACAATGCTCCTGAAACCCAGGAGCCAGATCTGTACATATATAAAAAATATCGATCCAGGAGTAGAGCCAACGCCGTTATTGTAGTTCAGGTTCGGTAGGTTCCGTTATCCCTTGCCTGGATACCAACCAGTATGCAGGGCAATTGAAGAATAGGAAAATAAGCGTAGGAGTCAATCTCAACAAGCTCAGGATATAAGTTGAATCTTATTTATTGGGTATGTCTACCGGTTTCGCCCGAACAGTGGGCTTCTTCAGGACGATTAATATCACGTGACGTTACCTGTATTACGTCACTATACACAATATAAATGTGCCCAGAATTTTAGTACTTCAGGGGACATATTTTGTTATTAAATCGTCCTGAAGAAGCCCACTGTTCGGGCGAAACCGGTAGACATACCCAATAAATAAGATTCAACTTATCCTGAGCTTGTTGCGATTGACTCCTACGCTTATATAAAAAATATATATTTTTATTTTTATTTTCCAACAATTATGAAACAATTTGTTTGTATCAACTTGTATTAATCACTCTTGTTGGCACTGGTGTTATTGCAAATATGGTAGGAAAATATAATCCCACTTGGTCGGGCAGTTAACCCCATACCTTCACACATCTGATCGGGGAATCAAACTGAATTTGTGATCTGGGCCTATACTGCAATAATGGGTTTCAAATACTCACACATGGGCCACATGATCATTCTTAGATTTAATTACTTAAAATAAATTTACAGTACTTTGGATTTTTAGGCACATTTTACACAGTTAAGCATGCACAAATCATTAATTGATTCATTAAAATGTTCAAAATGAATTTCAGATCTCCTATAAGCACTTTTAAAATGTCAAAGCCTTACTAAATCTACAGGTAATCATTTAAATGCAGAAAAACTTACCTACTCCAGTCTTGGGATTATAAGCCACTAATTTCACAAAGCCACAGTCCACAACTGTGAAGATAACACAGGACACATCATGACATGGAACACAGTCACCATGGTATGTTTGTTTATCTGATCAACATCTATAAGTTCTATGTATTATTTATTTCTAAATCAGCTTCTCAGAGTTAACACCAATATTCTGATTCATGATAGTTTAATGCTTTTTTTCTAGTTAAAATAGTATTAAGAGAAACTGAAGAAAGAAGTTTGATTTGGAAAACTGAAACATGAAAATCTGCTTTCAAAATTAACAACATGATCTCTATTTTACAACCCTAATATACTATATAGCAAGCTGGACCACTCCATCCATATTAAACAAAAAGAGACTTAAGTTTTCAAGCGGTCCTTTAATTGACCAAAAGTGAATTGCAATAGATTTTAAGAATTTATGGAGGAATGCACTTACTGTATACAATTGCGTCTATTGTTATAGATGCCTCTGCAATATTTGTGGCTATCACCATCTTCCTTGTATTAAACGGTGTCTTTTGAAAAACCTTCATCTAAAACAATAACTCATTGATCCTTACTAAGTCTGATATGGAGATAACATTTTTATTTACTTTTCTTGGCCAAACCAGAGGTTATTACATTTACATGAAGATGATTTCTCTTGCCCAAACATGGGTATCTACATTTTACTGTAAGAAGTTCCATAGAGAGACTAGCTTTATATACTCTATAGTTCTACTTGAAACAATACATACAGCAAGTATCACATAGGTAATATGTTTAACAGACAAACTTCTGTTCGCAAATCAGATCAGATATATTTGATTTCTCTGTCAATCTAAGTTAGAAATCAAATATGATGAAGCTCTTGTTTCTACCATTCCTTTGGCTACAGCTATTATTAAGCAACTCTTTCCTTATGAGGACATAAAAGTGAAGGACAAAACCTCAGTTTAGATGTTTTGAGACACTGACACCGAACTGTTACCTGTTCAGATGCTGGCAGACTACCGTACATAGGTACAACCTTCATCTTGAGTTTGTCTTTAGGGATACGTCTGGCTTCCTCTCTAGAACACAAACAGGCCTTCATGACTATGTCACTGTACACACTATACACATATTTTCTAAATTTTTAAAACTTCCATGGGGAGATTCTGCATACTCAAAATTAAAACATAAATAAAATGTGTATACAACCCCTAGAGACGAAATAACCTTTAAAATGACATATTTTGAGTTGTTCTTTAAGATGAAATCATTAGATCCTGGAATATAGGAACAGTTAAGCAAATTCACTGGTTGAAAACACTCAATTCATACCATTTTTATTGCTGATGACGCCTTATTCTCTCCTATTTAAACTTACCATATGAGGATATGTATCAATCAGACTGCATGAAATCAAATTAGAATTATTCTTTATAAAGGGGTTTCTCAACGTCATGGTCACATGCCAATGTTCGTATGACAGGTACGGGTAAGATGTTTGCAAAGATTTGCTGACATCCATCTGATACTGTTTGAGAAGTAGATTGGATGAGGAATTGTTTAGTTAATCAAGGGCTCCAACTATTTATATCAATAGAAATAACATGGCAATTATTTAAGCAGAAGTTAATATGACGGGTCAGATACATGAAAAGTTGCATTAAAATTGTTGAAGTACTTTAAAAGAAAAGGAGGAGTATCATCTAAATTAAATCTGAACACAGACAGATCCCTGATTCCAATACATCCCTTTATTCATTTGTTGTTTGGGTTTGATAATAATAATAATTCGAGATAACCTGTGTGCCATAACACCATATAATTCGAATAATAATTTGATGTTCTTATATACCTCTTTATCACAACCTAGTTCGTAGGTCGTCTCAAAGCCGTTCACAAATTATTATCAGTAGGTTATAGGGCCTTTGCAACCAACAAGCCAATATCTTTCTCAACTCCCTGGGGTGCTGCCATTTCGGCACTCACAGCTAGCATTCTACAATTCTAGAACTGCTCAACCACTTAATCATTTACAGCTGAGTAGACTGGAACAAGCGGAGTAAAGTATCTTTCTTAAAGATACAATACAGGCACGGTAGTCTAGTGGTAGGATGCCGGGCTCGTGACCGAATGGTTGCGGGTTCGAGTCACGGCACAGCATCCTACCACTAGACTACCATGCCTCCAAAGAAACGCTGAGTATAATAATGCCACAATCTGAATCTTTGGTAACTTTTCATATAACTACTGTATTGCAGTTCTATTTACTCTATATTGGTGTTATTTTGTGACAGATTCATATTCACATTCGCTGTTTAAGGTAATTACATGCTACCTTACACATTTTTGACATTATATCTGTGATTTTGTTTAGAAATAATAATACCAATAATTATACTTTATAAATAGTTTACCGGTACCTGTAATCTGTGTTTAAGTAAAGGGTACTTGCTACCATATATGAAAGTTATCTCCCTTTAACATTTTTTATCGACATGTACATTACTTTATAATTCAAACCTATCAGAGTTTTACCAACAAATGCGTCTTTATGTTCCTTTCTTTTATGAAGTCCAAGTGACTGATTACAACAGTTATATTATAAAGTCTTAGAGCAGAACTCTTTTGGGAAGGAGATACATTTAACAGTCAGGTAGAATGTATCTTTAAGTAACACATAATATAATCCATATCATTAGAGATACTTACATCAATAGCCGCACAACCTTCTGGACTTCATCCTGTAAACAAAATCAACTCGATCAAAATCATTATCACTTTGGTCTGTCTCACACGTTCGATACGACTGTCAGATCTACTTCAATTTAAGGTTGTGTATAGTACTTATCCAGTGCTCCCTTATAATTCAAAAGCAGAATAATTCATTTTAAACGTATTTAAGAACAGATTGAATGACTTTCGCACTCTAAATTGCAATGAAAGCCTACCTGTCCGGTTAGAAAGGCCAGCACATCTCCAGGTTTCTCTCCATGGTGGATCTTCATGACAGTATCAACGGTAGCCTTCACATAATTCGGTACGGGACTACAATTATAAATAAAGTTATAACGTTGATTATACAAGAATGTATTACAAACTGTCCATATACTTATTTAGTGAACTAATTTATTAGCCCAATATTGAATTTTAACCTCTGTATACCACAAAATATTTGTCGCAGTTGAACTTTTACTTCTTATGCCTTCTGTTTTGAGGGCAAATTTATTACGACGGTGAAAATAAGCACACAACTGTCCATACATTGTAATAACATGTGAAGGGTGAAAATTTGAAAATTAAGTGTCCTGTTATACAGTTTCAGCATAATGATGATTCTAACACGATTCGTTTGCAACGCGTGTTTTGATTGGATACGGACCATGTTCTAATCTGTGATAGAATCATGATCAATCGTGTTAAGCTCCTCCCATCGCACTTAAGCCACGCCCCGTTTCTAACCAAAACAATATGACGTCAAGCTCGCCTCTTAGCGAAATCCCGCTGAAACGGCTAGTAGGCAACAGAACAGAAAATGTGCAAGTATAAAGTATATGGGAACTTCAATTGGTGCCATCCTAATTTAGCACAACATTTACGTGTGAATCGCTAAAACAAGATAACAGTTCAAATATGTATGTTTACAGCTCTTCTTTGTAGTGTTGTTGCGATTAATCAATTTAATCGATGATCAGTCTTTTTACCTCCGACTATGATTAAAAGATAATGATTTTTTATGACTGATCATGGTCTGACTATAACATGCTATAAACAATATTTTTTGGCACTCTTGCCATACATACATTAATTAAATGGAAAATGAAATGTTCCATGACCTTGAAATCCAGTTTCATGGGAAAAACAATTTCTTTATATTTCTAAATTTTCTTTACTTAAAAATCACACATGGATAAGATATAGACTCTACTTACTCTAAACTGTAGTGGATATCCACAGGAAACGTCCGACCTTCTATGGACAGAATGGTGGCCTTGTCATGTCTACAAATATTTGAAACAAATTTTTTTTTTATGAACTAACATTGATTTATATATGCTAGAATAATATTTCCATCAGGCATCTGTTTAATAGTGAAATCTGAAATAAGAATGCAATGAAGTTTGCTCATAACAGGTAGAAAATAATACACAGGTTTTATCATGTGTAATACCTAAGGTAATTATCATATAATGTTTAGGACTAATAGCTGATAACACCTTACCTTCTTTCTCCTGTGTCATTGTTATTAAAGAACTTCTTCATTTCCTGTAAATTAAGATTATTAATGTAAGTCAATCTATTTTTAAAGAAATACAAATGTATTAACAGTGTATTCCTTCATGATAATTTACTATTAATTTCGAATAATTGCTTTGTTGCACTCTTCTTCTGATAACTGCCACAGAACTCATAGGTACATTTGTAGGAGTGCAATTGTCACATCGTACATGTTTGAGATAATATTGTGATCATTCGATGAAAGCAAAATAACAAAAAGAAATAAAACAAAGACTGGTAAAAAATTCAGATCAGTTTTCCTTTTTTCATATTACCGGTAATAAAATTACTAAATATTTTCCCCCTTTTTTCATATTAATAAAATTACTAAATATTTTTGCCCTATCATAAAGATGTGTTTCTAACATCTACTCACCTCAGCATTGAGTGTCGCCGAGGCCACAATGATCCTCAGGTCCTCCCTTTTCTTCATTATCTGACAGTCAATAAGAATCTCTTTGGTAACAGTTGCACACTATTATACCACCAATTATTAAGGCAAAACAAAACGATAGTCGTGTTTCCAGTTTGACCCTATTTTTCACCTCTGACCTCAAAACATTTCAAGATAAATGTTTGAATTTTACATCTAGTTAAAAAGAATAAAAAAAAATCATTTTTTTTTCTTTTTTCAAATTTTAAAAGTAATTATCAGTATCAGAGGCTAAATATGTCTTGTCACTTTGACAAAATTAGAAGAAAAATAACCGTTTAGAGGGGAATTACTAGATAAACTTTCGCCCTTGCTTGTAAAAGCAATATTCTCCCAGTTTCAATTTCACCCTTTATATTAAATTACTATGTATATTATGTTGTTTACTACTGTTTACTTTAATGTTGCTTTTACCTTCATTACAGAGAGTGAAAAAGGCGAAACTTAAACTGCAACGAAAATGTCCTGGTATACAGTATACAACACTGTACAGTATTACAAACCTTCCTCAGGAGTCCCATCACAATGTCTGTGTTAAGCGTCCTCTCATGGGCCTCATCCAACATCAAAATACTGAAACACACAACAAATACATGTCAGAAAATTGACTATTAATAGAAAGTATTATTCCAGAAATAACTGCAGCGATTGTGGTACAGTGAGGCACTTTTTTGAGACTCCCCAAACAGTACACATTCTTTATGTATTATAAGACAACTGGATTACAAAAACAATTTTGCATAGAAAATATGCTAACCTGTCCCCTAAAATACTGACAGAAAGTGAAACTATTGGAAAAGTGACTAAATTAAGGAGATTTACTGACTGCATTAATAATTATCTTATCATCATTAGACATGTATTAGTAGACAACTTCTGTCATTGTACAGTATTTCCATATACAGTGATTTTTGTAGAATTTTTTCAGACAACCCCTGGACATTATTACTAAAATTTTGACGTGTCCTATTACTAAGAGATAGAGTGGGTGATCATGAGTCCCACTGGAAAAGCAGGAGTACAGGACTCAAATATTTGAGTCCCAAAAATCACTGACAATATGTAGCAGACACATTTTAATACCTGTACTTCCTTAGCAGGGGGTCTTCCATTATTTCCCTTATCATCATACCATCTGTCATGAACTGTAAACAAAAGACTTGATAATAGACAACATAACAAAACAGGAATATAAATCATGTTCTTTATTTACCGGGGTATTTACATTTATTAAGTCTGTAGTCCTTTTCTTGAAAAACATTTTGGTTTAATCTGATAACATAAGGACAAAATAAGAAATAGGAAAGTTCCTAAAATTTCATGAAAAGAACATTTCCAAACTATTTATCCATCAATTTAACATAAATCAAAACTTATTGTTTAATCGTTCTAAAATCAGACCATACCTTTATGCGAGTCCTCGTTTTGTCGGAGCAGTCATCAAACCTGATGGTGTAGCCAACCTCCTCTCCAAGTATAGTGCCCCGCTCTTCAGCAATACGTGTCGCCACCTGGTATTAAGACACATGTACATGTAGTTTACCTTGAAATTTCAAAAAAAAATAACCAGTCTTACTAATATTGGAAGGAGACATTCAGTTTTTCACCTCTTTTTTAACTTTTTGAAATCAGAATTCAATACAATTGTGTTTTGTTCAATTCAATTAATTCTTTGTATAAAATAGTTTGAACTATTGCATTTTACACATCAATTGTCAAACAGAGGCATTGTAAATCAATTTTAAGCGCTTTTTGATACAAAATGTATTGCAATATACTATTTCTGCCCCCCATGAATTTTTTTTATATCTCTGTTATTACTCAAGTGGTTGTTTTGGAAGTGAAACTTTTATTAATATCTTAGAACCTGCCCAGTAGTTTAGGGGGAGATGACGTTTCAAGTAAATAAACCAAATTGACCCCTTTCGACCCACACTCAGCCCACAGGAGTGCTAGCTCTTTTACATGTAGTACTTTTGATTCCGATACATATGTATATGGACTAAGGATGCTACCATCGTCGTTTGGTTGAAATCTGTACAATAGTTTGGGATGAAATGGTGCTTATAGCAAATCAACCCTACCTACTGACCCTGGAGGGTCAGACCCTTTATGTATATTCAATCCACCTGGGCAAAAGATGCTGTAACCTAACTTTGTTTGAAATCCAAACAGTTGTTTAATTGGGAGATGTCATTTAAAACATGACAATGGATAGACTACAAATATTCATCAGACGATGACAGACAAAGCACCATGACATCAGTTTACTGTACCATGTGAACTAAAAAATTACAAAGTATATCCTATAGAGCTATAAACAATATGTTTGTATTAGTGGTGAATAGAATATGGTTTCATATGGTAATTAAATGTACATAATTGTTTTGGTTGTTGAGGACAGTAGACAAATGATGTAAAAAAAAAAATCAACTGTAAGAAATTAATTAAATCATAGAATTTCAAAATGTAAGTACTTTTCAGATATGTCAGTGGGCTACTTACCGTGACTGCTGCGACTCTCCGGGGCTGTGTGACTCCTATCACATGACCTTCAGCTCCCCAGCCCGCCTCCAACAGGTACTGTAGGTATATACATGTAACAGTATAAACTTTCATTACGAAGAAGTTCAAAATTCAAATAATGAAAAGCAAGATTTTGAAAAATGTTGTTTCATTGTTTTGTATTTAGAAACATTCAATTCTACAGGTGTACACAGTACACCATTGTATTTTCTTTTAGAAACATTCAATTCTACAGGAGTACACAGTACACCATTGTACTTCCTTTTTGAAACATTCAATTCTACAGGTGTACACAGTACCCCATTGTCCTTCCTTTAGAAACATTCAATTCTACAGGTGTACCCAGTACACCATTGTACTTTCTTTTAGAAACTTTCAATTCTACAGGTGTACACAGTACACCATTTTACTGCCTTTTAGAAACATTCAATTCTACAGGTGTAGACAGTACTCCATTGTAATTCCTTTTAGAAACATTCAATTCTACAGGTGTACCCAGTACACCATTGTACTTTCTTTTAGAAACATTCAATTCTACAGGAGTACACAGTACACCATTGTACTTCCTTTTAGAAACATTCAATTCTACAGGCGTACACAGTACACCATTGTACTTCCTTTTAGAAACATTCAATTCTACGGGTGTACACAGTACACCATTGTACTTCCTTTTTGAAACATTCAATTCTACAGGTGTACACAGTCCACCATTGTACTTTCTTTTAGAAACATTCAATTCTACAGGAGTACACAGTACACCATTGTACTTCCTTTTTGAAACATTCAATTCTACAGGTGTACACAGTACACCATTGTATTTTCTTTTAGAAACATTCAATTCTACAGGTGTACACAGTCCACCATTGTACTTCCTTTTAGAAACATTCAATTCTACGGGTGTACACAGTACACCATTGTACTTCCTTTTAGAAACATTCAATTCTACGGGTGTACACAGTACACCATTGTACTTCCTTTTTGAAACATTCAATTCTACAGGTGTACACAGTCCACCATTGTACTTTCTTTTAGAAACATTCAATTCTACAGGAGTACACAGTACACCATTGTACTTCCTTTTTGAAACATTCAATTCTACAGGTGTACACAGTCCACCATTGTACTTTCTTTTAGAAACATTCAATTCTACAGGTGTAGACAGTACTCCATTGTAATTCCTTTTAGAAACATTCAATTCTACAGGTGTAGACAGTACTCCATTGTAATTCCTTTTAGAAACATTCAATTCTACAGGTGTACACAGTACACCATTGTACTATCTTTTAGAAACATTCAATTCTACAGGTGTCGCAGTACACCGTTGTACTTCCTTTCGCTGCTATGGGTAGTGTCCAGGGTTAACCCTTGAGACAGAATTATGATTTTCAAATTTGCATGCTAATTCAAAATTTAAAAATGCACAGATTGAAAAACAAATTAAATTGAATTGTGATTATTTTTTCAAAGCATAAAGGTATTAAAAAACAGATGAAGCAAATAATAGTCAATTTTGTTTAGAGTTAGAAGAACCTAATTGCTTATATTAATTGCCCTTAACCTGAAGAGTTTTTAATCAGCAGTAATAAATTAATACTTAAATGACAAGTTCTCAACCTCCTATTCCGTCTTTGCGTATTGCAGAGTTATCTTCTCTTTGGAGCAGGTATTGATTGTTTCGTCACTTGTTTGTGAGAGAAACGTCATCAATTATTAAGAAAACGACATAATTTTCTCACTCAGACCAATGACGTAACAATCAATCCCTGCTCCCAAGAGAAGATAACTCTGCAATACGCAAAGACGGCATAGCCAGTAGCCATGCAGTGATCCTCAACACTTCTTTAAAAACCTTTCTATTACACCATATAGTATTTATATGTAACATACTACCTGAGGAATTTGTGTACTTTTCCCACATCCAGTCTCTCCAACAATGACTACAGTCTGATATGTCTCACACAAGTACAGGATATGATTCCGAAGCTACAAGTCAAAGGTAAACAAAAATGTCATATTTAAATTGATAAAATATATGCATATCATTGGCTAAACTAGAAGTCAAAACCTAAAATCTACCATGCCCATCCTACTCTTTTGATTTCAATTTCTTTTCTTAATCTCATATTACAATGGAAGATCCAGGGGTAAAGCATATGGTGCACATGCTCTCTCCTCAAACATTTTTATAACACTATGATATCATATACCATTGTTTAGACTTGAGAATGTCAGTTTATGCTTCGTGATAAAAAACAGGTTATCTTAAATTCTCAAAAAAAAAACCAGGAGTTTCAAAACTGTAAAACAGTCAATATGTTAAATAGTTCATGGGAATTCTGTAATGTAACAGACCTGTTATTATTTTTACACTTTCTCTGCCAGGAGTCAAACCTGGGACCTCTGGGTTACTAGTCTTACGCCCTACCGAATGAGCTAAAGAGAAATTCTCTCTAGCCGAGTCAGTGGGCCAGATGGCCGCCAGTGACCTGCAGGTACCTACATGTATATATATATAGCTCTACATTATTTTGTATATTGGTTTCAGTTTTACATCATTTCATTTTACCTCTCTTGTTAGTACATGTAGCTAGTGCCTGCTGTTATCAAAGCTTGTTTCATGTACTGTTTGTGAGCACAGCAAAGGCTAGGATACCCTACCAGGCGCAGATTTAGGGGGGGGCACACCCGGTCCCGGCCCCTTTTGGCGGCGGACTGACCTTTTCCGGGCTGGCCCATAATGGTCTGATCGGCCGGGAACGGGAACATATTAACATTTTAAAATGCATCAAATAATGCACGGAGCTTGTATAAAAAAAATCTGGGGCTATGCCCCACACATCCCATACGGCATCCTAGCAAATATTGTGGGTTTCCGTTATCTGATATTTTTACTATATTTTCTTTATTAAAACAATATTTGTTGGCATCGCTACGCTCATCTACTTTGTATCTTGACCCTAAAGTGTGTGTTTTATTCTACCACCTCCGCAAAACCCCAAGTTGCAGCTTGCAACGCTCGGCGGAAATATACTAGCATAAGTTGCATAATTATATTATTGACCGCTCGTTATAGATGATCTGAAAATTAATACTTTTTATTGTAACCTTCCTAACCGCCCGGGCGATATTAATCATATCATTATACAAGAACGATAAAGGTTTTTTTCGGCTGACAATATTATGTATAATCGACTAAACATATCCATTCAATTATTTTGGTATTATATATATTGTTGGAACTGTTTAACTATCTTGTATGTACAACATAATATCTCATTGTGGTACTTATAGCTTACCATCGTGTACGTACAAGAAAGTATCTTCACACAGCATACTATTGTGTACGTAGTAATAAGTTGTACGTACCAGAATGAGATGATATGCTGTACTTACAAGTATGATAATTTTAAATTAAATTTAAAGGTGACGCGTATGTGCCTCCTAAGTTGTACCATTTTAACCAGATAGCTTAGCAAATGTACCACTGTTGGTAATATGCACGCCCTTACATGAGTTAATCAGCGTGGACATTTCAGATATATCATTGTCTACACTAGTGAATTGGTCAACAATTATAAAACGCGAGACTATATCAAGGGCGGGTCCAGGTGAGGGCGTAATGGGCGTACGCCCTCCCTTTTCCAAAAAAAAAGAATTTTTATTTATCGTAATCTGCTAATATTGTATTGAATATGGCAATTTATCATATTCATTAATTAAAGACATACTCTAAAAAAAAAAAATGTCAAACCATGACACTTCAACTATAAAATATACATGCTCCAAGTCAGGAACCGTTACATTAGTGCATTTCACAATTATTTTATGTTTTTTAGCAAAAAAAAGGTCCAAAACTTGTTTTGCTTGCTCCGCTCGGCGACAGATTTTATTCTACGCCCCCTCTTTCAAATATCCTAGAAACGCCCCTGTATATAGCTAGTGGCCTTGGTTGTCGCACTGATTTGAACTTACCGTTTGTTTAGCAACTTAGTGATGCCATGAGTAACTCATTAATTAAACAGCAACGATGTTATGGTGTTATTTGTTCTTTTGTACAACAAACATACAATGTCTGAAGACTAGATTTATATTTTGACGGTGGACCTCTCGTATCCCCTTGCGGGCGGGACGCCAAATTAGGTAATAATGAACAAGCCCCCTGTGGATTCATACATTTGTCATCACCAGGTTGCCCCTATAATAATACCATCTGACTTCAAAAACACACTGTTGATAGAGAATTTGAACCGAAACTTTCATTTTCTTTCCAGTAAACAAAAAATGTCTTTGGGCCATACTTAAAATATGTTTTTTTCTTAATTAAACGTAAAAACAATCCTCAGAACACGGGAAATCGCTTCTGAGACGTTCTAGAAAACACATTTTTTGGGGGGTAGATCCCCCAAACCCCCCCTCCTCGCGCTATGTGCTCGGCCTGCTGCCTTTCGCAGCACACCGTTGACTATTGAGAAAAAATTCTCGGCCCCCCCTTTTAGTAAATCCTGGATCCGCCCCTGCCTACCCCGAGTTGCAAATAATTTTAAATATTCAAGGAGAAAGACTTAGGAATACAGGATCCTTAGTGAAGCAGAACTGGGCCAGGTTACTATTAGTGATCAGCTACTGACTAGCTCAAGTTCAGAGGTCCTTGCATGGTTTATATCCTAATATGAATCGGCCAACAGACATGTCAATACAAAGATGTTAATTGTTTCACTTATAAGACTTTTAGTACTTTAACAACTTATGTTTCATCATCATGATCTACTTTTGTTCACTTTTTGTGTCCACTGTGAGTTGCTGACTTGATTTATATTTTAGGATTCTTCAGTATTTTTGTTGTTTTTGCAAAAAAGTACCAAAAATCCAACTCTTAGGTACCAAAACTACCAGGAAAATTTTTCGAAAACATATAGGATTCTCCAAGTCTGGCCTACTTGTTTTTTTTCACCCGTTGTTGTATATAAATGTAGCAACAAGCTGCAAGACACTGACTTGGAAAACAGGCAATTTTTGTCGTTGTTTTTCGATGGACTTGGATATATCTGGGTTGTAAACAAACGCTGTGGCTGCCTCCTCTGACGTTGACTTCCTCTCTTCCTCCAAGGGTGTTATGGGTTCCTCTGACCCTAGAAGAGGAGGTCAACAATCTTTATTTACAACCCATCACATTTCACAGGATAACTTAAATTGCAATTTCAACACTGATACAGCTGTAAACCTACATCTTTAGAAATTATGTTATTTCTATAATCTTAAAAATATCAGATATATATATCACAAGGTATCTTAAGCTAATACACAGAAACATGTAAGCTGTTGATTTGATATCTAAATATATATAAAGCGTTATAGTGTGTTTAGTCAGTGTTATTGACAGAGTTGTTGATGTCCAGTAAAATGTGGAAATCAGTGTAGCTGAATTGCCTATATACATATAAACTAAATAGAATAAATACCCGGCTTCCAAAATTTAGGAGTAAATTTCTGTGCCATCTTAGGTCAAAAACGTATTAGCTGTGGGATTTTTCAGCTTCCGAAACACCCGCCATCAACGTTCGTCGCTTAACGTTATGTGGTTATTTCCGCTTCCGCTGTAAACAAATACACGTGGTTTCACTTTGCCATTTAGCGGTAAAAAAAAACGGTAATCATTCGCCAATTATTCATTTAATGAAACATATAATTAAACAAAGGTGTTTTTACAGCTTCCAATATCAAATAAAAAACCAAATACCGGGTAAGTGAAAATAAAATTGATAGGAACTCTTTTACGATAGAGATAAGAAAAGGTCTGTTTGTAAACTGTCATGTGCCAAATGCTTTTATGAGTGTCATGTGATGTAAAAGAAGTCTTATACAACAACCCGAGGCAAAGACAGCCTAAGGAACTGTGTGATAATATAAATATGTAAGTCATTGTTCACTAAGCATTTAAATATTTGAAAAGTAATACGTATTGTAATAGATCTTCGAGGGTTAAAAACAAATACATGTAAACCATAAACTGTTTTTTGATAAACAATGCAATCAACCGCGAAATGAATTATTAAACAGGACCTGTTAAAGGGAATTTTTTGAACATGTTGAAGATGTTGAATTCCGGTCAGATTTATACATGTACATGTGTAACTTGCAGGGTGCATTCAACCATAACATTCACTCTAGAAAGGAATCTCTTAAACAGCTGTTAAATGCAAGACAGTCACAGAAAGTCAACTGGATAACCTGAGCTGTCTCATGTATCAAATTTGTAATGATTTTCTTCTATTTCAAGTTATTAATGAGTACACATACTTGTGCTATTTAAAATCTTACTTACAAAGACAATGTTAACACATTGTAATACTACATAATCATTAAAAGTATAAATACTGAGTATACATGTAGTAAGTGTCTGTGCTCCTACTTGGTCAATATTACATTTACTATTTAAGTGTAAAAGTCAGATGATAATATTGTCTGTTAATTTTATTGAGGTCCTCTGTTGGTAATTTAAGTTATTCAACATTCAAGTTTTACAGCTAGATCATGTAGGTTCAAGTTCATTTGTTGCATGGCAGATGCAAATTTTCTTGGTTTGTTGCAGGAACTTTTGGAAAGATATCTTGTATATGTAGTTAAGTTAACGTATTATATGAAAAGCGTTTGTCTTTTCTAAATTTAACTAACGATTGACCCACTGTTTTGTTTCAGTGACCAGCAAAGTTGTATTAAAGCCCTGTACAGGAACAGGAATAAAAATCCTGTACACCAGACTGCATGCGGTGTAGTTTGAACCATGTTTTTGTGATAATCTGATAGTGTAAATGTGTTTTCATCTTGATTATCATTTGAATGCTTTGATCCATATATCTCCTCTTTACTATATACATAATATTATCATATTTTATCTTGACAGTGCAATACAGAACACTTGACTCAACTAGAAGGTATTTACAGACAGCCAACATGATGCTAATTCCGTCCCTTCTCCTGATCTCCTGTTTCCTTGCATCCCTAATTGTCAACTCTGCGCCAGCTGAGGATCTGATTGTGTCGATGCCAGGACTGAGTACTCAGCTGAAGTGGAAGCAGTACTCTGGATATCTCAATGCCACAGGCAGCAAGAAACTCCACTACTGGTACTCAACACTTCAACCCGCAGCCCAATAATTAAAAATATTAATTTATAAAGGATTTGTGGTCTTTTGGACAATTTCTTTAAGATTTGTTGGTAGAGTTTTGTTAATTTATCAATGGTTGTCTGTCATAAGCTGCATAAAATAAAGTGTTGTTTTCTATTGTAAGTTGAACTTTAAATTCTTAACTCACTGAGTTTGATTTACATGATCATAACTGGATGAATCGGATTGCAATATTTTACACAGATTCCTTCTGAATGTTACATACAATTTTTCCTGTACCTTCATACAGCCCTTAATCAAGTTTTTGTTTGTGTAAGATTATGATGTAACTACAATGTTTGAAATATTTGCACTGTGAAGCTTTCATACGACATGGTGTTTTATAGGCTTTCCTCCCACGAGCGTTATAATTGAAATTATCAAATTTAATGCAAGTTAGTTTTTTTGTTATTTGAGAAAATATATAATCCAATTCCTGATGATTGATAATAATTTATATCTTCTCTCATAAATCTATTCAGAAATATGATACACCCTATTCATGTTTGCAAATTTCGTTTAAAAATCAAATCACTTGCTTGGATATAATCATTATTACGGTAATCATCACTCTACAGGATAGTTTTTTTTCATCAATGAACTCATCCTCGATACTCCAGGGGTTTTGCTCACTTTCGCTATCTGCACCCCTGAAATATGTCATAGCCAAATTGAAGGCACACAACTAGATATTTGATTGGTCTTAAGAAGAAAAACCTGACCAATCACTAGGCTGATACCTGTCCTTTAAAGTTTCTAGAGGAGCGACACCTGACTTCAAAGTCAGTCAAGTTTTTCATTACGTTACCAATATTATTTTTTCTGTGCATCAAAGGATGGAACTTAAATTGTTTTCTCGTCTCATCCACAAGTTGGTTATACTGAGCCTTCGATGTTATCATGACATAGTCCAGGGATGAAGACAACGTAAGTAGGCGTAACTCCTGGAGGATGGAGGATACAATGAACTACACAGGGATGTATATCGTTGTTGTAGGTTTTTGGAATCTCAGAACAAACCTGAGACTGACCCTGTTGTCTTGTGGATGAATGGTGGACCTGGTTGTAGCTCTGACCTGGGTCTGCTCAGTGAACATGGACCATTCAGGGTAATCATAATATACAGACAAATTATTAACCAAATGATTTTCATAGGGCTGCAACAATATATTGCCAATATTTTGAATACGGTACAATACACAATATTTTGAGAGGTCACGTTACACCAACATTATATAATATTTTCCAGATTTCGTCGTTTCTGAATTTAGTTTATTCATATCCGTTCCTTAATGGCAAGTGACAGCTCTAGCTCGGCATGCACGTCGAAAGACGTTAACTGTATGAAACTTTTTATGACATGTACATTTTTGACCAAGTCTATTTCCAGTTGTAATATTGCATTTAAAAATTTGCAACATATCTTTATGCTTTGCTTCTACTGTTACTATATGTATCGTGATATGTATTGTATCGTGACCACAATATTGTGATACGTATCGTATGGTCATATTAATGTTTTCGTAGCAGCCCTAGTTTTTCATGCAAGAATCCTTTGATATTTTGTAGATTTGATAAAAGTTGAACCACATTTTTCAATGGATTGAATTGGATATCATATGATCTGTTTTTCATGGCTATAACGTAGTGAAATGATTGCTTTAAAAGTTATTTACAGTGGAATTGTTTTATATTGGAAGTTTTGCAAAGAGTTCTGATAAACATAAGTTTAAGTGTTTTTGTTTGTTTGTACATGTATATATCATTATAATTTATTTCAGATTGACTCCGATGGGAAGACAGTGTTAAATAATCCATACAGCTGGAACCTGGTAAGTATTTTTTCTTAGTTCAGAGTAAGTAATATTTACTTTGAAATTAAATGAAAAGAAGTGTTGACTCGTAGCGATAAGAAATATCTGTGGTCACACCATTTCGTACTCGGTTATCTGTTGAATTGTACCATGTGTTAATTTGCTGAGCCTTGGATGAATGATATTTTATTTCATACCTATATGAGATGTTTGTATGTTCTATATTTTTATTAACAGGTAGCAAACATGATTTACCTGGAGGCTCCAGCAGGTGTGGGTTTCTCCTACTCACCTGACAAATTAGATTACAAGACAGACGATGACCAGGTAACATCTCCTCAAATTTGGTACTGCAATACTCTAGGTTTCGGTTATTGATGTGATTGAGTTGCTATCCAATTTAGGAAAATCAAGCAGAAACTCGATACTCCACCTATATTCTCAGTAAACATTTTTGGATTGTTCCTATGACAAAACTTTAAGTGCAATTTTGTATAGAATCAGTCAATATATGCCCTAGAACATGGGCTAGATGATGAGACTACTGGATAAGTAATGGCTGGGTGGTGAGACTACTGGAATAGTAATGGCTGGGTGGTGAGACAACTGGATAAGTAATGGCTGGGGGGGGAGACTACTGGATTAGTAATGGCTGGGTGGTGAGACTACTGGGTAAGTAATGGCTGGGGGGTGAGACTACTGGATTAGGATAATGGCTGGATGGTGAGACTACTGGATTAGTATAATGGCTGGATGGTGAGACTACTGGATAAGTAATGGCTGGGTAATGAGACTACTGGATTAGTAATGGCCAGGTGGTGAGACTACTGGATAAGTAATGGCTAGGTGGTGAGACTACTGGATAAGTAATGGCTGGGTGGTGAGACTACTGGAAAAGTAATGGCTGGATGGTGAGACTACTGGATAAGTAATGGCTGGGT